TGGAGACAAGTTCATGAGAACCTTGAAACCGGATCTAATCAGAAATGGCATTTGTGTGATTTTTTCACACAGTTTCTCAGGTCTGAAATCGGGTTATATAAACATCGAGGTGAAATCCTTGAAGAGTTTGTATCCATCAATGTCTTTGTTTACTTTGCAGAGCTTGATATGTTCGACTACTACTACTACTACTACTACTACTACTACTACTATTATTATTATTATTATTATTATTATTATTATTATTATTATTATAACATTTCTATGCCGCCCCTTGCCGAAGCCTCGGGGTGGCTTACAACATTATAAAATACATTGAAATACAATAGAACATAATAAATTACCATTAAATACAAAAATACAAAAAATACACTGAGTTACAAACATAATAATATAAAATTAAAATTGTCAGTAAAAAATAAGTAAATAAAGAATATAGGAGGAGAAAGAAGAAGGAAGAAGAAGTTGCCCTGGCCAGATCATATATTTTAACAATTAAAATGATGTTTAAATAAAAAGGTCTTTACCTGGCGCCGAAAAACAAGTAACGACGGTGCCAGGTGGACCTCTCCAAAGAGTGAATTCCATAGGTTGGGCGCCACCACAGAGAAAGCCCTCCTCCAAGTACTTACTCTCCTAATTTCTTTCATGGAGGGTTCCCGGAGAAGGGACTCTCCCACAGATCTCAAAGGGCAGTCAGGCATATGTGGACGTAAGGGCTCATTCAGGTAGCCAGGACCCAAGCCGTTTAGGGCTTTATAGGTTATCACCAACACCTTGAATTGGGCCCGGGCTTCAATGGGAAGCCAGTGAAGCTGACGGAGGACTGGAGTCATGTGAACATAACGCCCTGTCACCGTCAGCAACCTGGCAGCTCCATTTTGCATCAATTGAAGTGTTCAGACCATCTTCAGGGGAAGCCCCATGTAAAGCGCGTTACAGAAGTCTAAGCGGGAAGTCACCAGCGCGTGTGTCACCGTCGCCAGGCAGTCGTACTCCAGGTAGGGGCGCAGCTGATGAATCAGCCGAAGCTGGAGGAAAGCGCTCCTCACCACCGCTGTCACCTGAGCTTCCAAAGAAAGCTCTGGGTCGAGGAGTACTCCTAAGCTGCGGGACTTGTCCCTATGAGGGAGTGTGGCACCATTCAGGACCAGGTCAAATCCACCCTCTCCGAAGCCCTATCCGCCAACCAACAGGACCTCCATCTTGTCTGGGTTGAGTTTCAGTTTATTGGCCCTCATCCATTCCCTTACCTCGGCCAAGCACCAGTTCAGCACAGCCACTGCCTAACCTGGATTAGTGGAAAACGAGAGGTAGAGCTGGGTATCATCAGCATATTGACGATTCCACAGCCCACACCTCCTGATGACCTCTCCCAGCGGTTTCATGTAGATGTTAAATAGCAGAGGGGATAGAATGGAGCCCTGCGGTACTCCATGGCATAGCTGCCATGGCGCAGAGACATGGTCCCCCAGCACAACCTTCTGGAAACGACCATTGAGACAGGAGCGGAACCACTGCAAAGCAGTGCCTCCAATCCCCTATCTCGCTAGCCTATCCAGAAGGATACCATGGTCGATGGTATCGAAAGCCGCCGAGAGGTCCAGAAGAACCAACAGGGATGTACTCCCCCTGTCCTTCTCCCTGCACAGGTCATCGTACAGGGCGACCAAGGCAGATTCAGTACTGTACCCGGGTCTGAAGCCAGACTGAAAAGGATCCAGATAATCAGTTTCATCCAAGAGTGCTTGGAGTTGTCCCGCCACCACTCACTCCAACACCTTGCCCAGAAACGGGATGTTGGCCACAGGTCTATAGTTAGTGGCCATCTCTGGATCCAGTGACGCTTTCTTCAGGACTGGTTGTATTACCGCCTCCTTTAAAGGGGCAGGCACTCGACCCTCCCTCAGAGAAGCGTTAACCACTTCCAAGATCCAGGTCCCAATCCCATGCTTGGAGTTATTTATTAACCAAGACGGGCAAGGATCCAATAGGCAAGTGGTGGGACGTACTCGTCCAAGTACCTTGTCCACATCATCGGGCCGCAATAATTGAAATTCCTCCAACAATTTTGGACCAGATGGTAGCATTGGCGTCTCCTCAGAGACCTCTGATTCATTAGTGGAGTCCAGCTCGTGACGAATCTGAGCGATACTCTCCCTGAAATGCCTGGCAAAGTCATCACAGCGGGCCTTTGAGGGTGGCATCAGATCTTCCTTAGGACCCGGGCGAACCAGGCCTTGTACCACTCGAAAAAGCTCTGCCGGACAGCATTGTGAGGAGGCAATGGAAGCGGAAAAAAACTTCTTTTTCGTCGCCTTCACCGCCACAGCATAAGCCCGACAGTGGGCTCTCAAGTGTGTTCGATCAGATTCATCCCGTGATTTCCTCCACCTACGCTCCAGTTGTCTCCCAACCCGCTTCATCGCCCGCAATTCAGGTGTATACCAAGGGGAAGAGCGGACTCTGCCCGGTGGGAGAGGACGCTTGGGAGCGATCGTGTCCACGGCCCTGGTCA